CACGCACCACCGTCTGTGTGGAAAAAGGTGCCCCTTAGGTCCCTTTTAAATCTTTCCCCTCTCACCTTAAACCTTAAACCCTCTAGTTTTGGACTCCCCTACCCTGAGGAAAAGACCTTGGCTATTCACTCTATCCATGCCCCTCATGATTTCATAAACTTCTACAAGGTCACCCCTCAGCCTCCGACCCTCCAGGGAAAATAGCCCCAGCCTAATTCAGCCCCTCCCTATAGCTCAAACCCCCCCATCCCCGGCAACTTTCTTGTAGATCTTTTCTGAACCCTTTCAAGTTCAACAACATTCCTCCTACAGCAGGGAGACCAGAATTGCATGCAGTATTCCAAAAGTGGCCTAACCAATGTCCTGTACAGGCATAACATGATCTCCCAACTTCTATACTCAATGCACTGGCCAATAAAGGCAAGTGTACCAAATGCCTTCTTCACTATCCCGTCTACCTTCGATATGTATGTACGAACAGGTCTTAAGATTGCCAACTCATGAGGCTCAGTCAAAGTAGGATTCATTAAAACAGGCCACCATTGAACAAATGAGGCAAAATGGAGTTGAGATACAGATGAACCATGATCTAATTGTACTTCAGAGCAACTCTGAGGAGTTGGATGACCTATTCCTGTCCTTAACATTCCTCGGTTCATAAATAGTCTAGGCAGAAAACAGACATGAAATGATCCACCTACAAAAAGCTTAGAGGAACCAGGTGCTTTATGATTTACAGATAGGAAAAGAAAGCGAAAAATCACAAGGCAGTAGAAATTAGCTGTTTATAGAAAAACCTTCTCAGCTGCACACCTTCCATCTCTTTGTGAATCTGCATACTATGCAATTAAGGGAAAAACAAAACGACTTTTGAAGCACCGTCACAGAGCAGATTAGCTCACAACTTGCTACTTTTGCACGCAAAACCTCTGACTGCTGGGCTGGAGGGATGGTTCAGTGATGAGAGATTGAGGAGGCTGCGTCTGTAATCTCCAGAATATAGAAGAATGAGGGGTGACCATAAAGATGTAAGAACTAGCAGCAGGAGTAGGCCATTCAGCCCCTCAAACCCGCTCCACCACTTAATACAGTCATGGCTGATCTCATCTCAGTCTCAACTCCACTTTCCTGCCTGCTCTCCACAACCCTTCAAGCCTCTACTGACTAAACCTGTCTATCTCCTCCTTAATTTACTCAATGTCCCAGCTTGCACTATCCTCTGTGAGAGTGAATGCTACAGATTCATGAGCTTTTGAGAGAATTAATTCCTCCCCATCGTTGGTTTATATCTGCCATGCTCCTTTAGCCCAAAACTCATTGAAGCAGATGAAATTCTTATGGGGTTCAACAGGGTTAATTCAAGGAGAATGGTTGCCCCAGGCTGAAGGTTGGGGGTAGGGAGAGAGTTGTGACATCTAGAAACAGAGGATACAGTCTGACTACAAAAGGCAGGTCACTTTGGACAGAAAAGAGGAGAAACATCTTTCCCGGCTGAATGGCCTACTCCTGCTCTTACCTACTTATTCCCGACAAAGAGGAAATTTGGTGAGTGACAACGGAATATTTTGATCTAATGGCTAAGGACTACACAACATAAAATAAGATTATCCTCTCAAGTCTCGTCAATCAATTTGGTATTGCATTAAACGCCTTTCGGAGTAAGATAAGTCTGAGAGTTCGTGCTATTTTTTCTTCATTCGTTCACAGGAAGACAGCTTCACTGGCCAGGCCAGCATTTATTGCTCAGAGGGCAGTTTAGACTCAACCATGTTGCTGTGGGTCTGGAGTCACGTGTAGGCCAGACCAGGTAAGGACCGCATTTTCCTTCCCTAAAGGACATTAGTGAACCAGATGGGTTTTTCCTGACAATTGACAATGGATTCACGGGCATCATTAGACTCTGAATTCCAGATATTCCGTGGCGGGATTTGAACCTAACTCTGGATTAATAGTCCAGCGATAACACCACTAGGCCATCGCCTCCACTATGTGTTGCAAAAGTGCTGTTATTTGACTACCTTTTGAATAGTGGCCCATGCTAACACTATTTTTGGTCCTTAAGTGATGGCTAATCCTCCCTCAGCTGTGCTTCGTAAAACTCCCAACATTGTACATTTCCATGGTTCACGTCCTCTCCAGCATGTCCAGTCACCTGAATCCTTGTGGATTAATCACTTTGACCCTGCTGCTCTCTGTCCCAATAATCCTCACAAGCTTCAAGGCTTTGCTTGAGGCCCCTGCTCTTCTGATCTGACTTGGTTTGCCCACAACTAGACACAACCCCCCACGCCCTGGTCCTTCCCAGAAACCTAGAGCCCCACCACATCACTCAGTGCTTTAATAAGCTTTTTCCTTAAAAGACATTCCCCTCCGACTGTGCGTGAAACCTCACTCTTTCCAGATTATCTCTCTTTGCAGAAGCTCATTAATGGCTCAGAGGCATTTCCTTTGCTTCTATATTTCTCTCAAAAGAGGCGGGTCAGATTTGTGTTCTCCTGGAAAGCTGTCGTAGGGCTTGACATGTACCAAACAGGTAGAAATCAGAGGGAAAAATATACAGCAGCACTAAAAGTGCTGAAAACGTGGGTACCAGAAAATAGTACACAAGAAACAAGAGCAGCTGTAGGCCACCTGGCCCCCTTAAGTCTGCCCCACCATTCAACTCAATCAAGGTTGATCTGACCCAGACCGCAACTCCTCTTTTCATCAAATCACAGAATCCCTCCCATTCAGCCCATCATGTCCACACCAACTCTCTGAAGAGCAGCCCACCCAGACACACCCTCTCTATTCTATCCCTGCTTTATCTATCTAACCTGCACACTATGGGCAATTTAGCACGGCCAATCCACCTAGCCTGCACATCTTTGTGGGAGGAAACCCACAGAGCCATGGGGAGAATGTGCAAGCTCCATACAAACAGTCGCCTGAGGGTGGAATCAAACCCAGGTCCCTGGCACTGTAAGGCAGCAGTGCTAACCACTGAGCCACTGCTCCAGTTTAGCCTAGCCCACAACTCCCTGATATTTCAAAGAGCTATCTCCCTCCTCTACAAATACATTCTAGCCTACACAACTCTCTGGGGTCGGGAATTCCAGACACTTACTACGCCTCTGGGGAGAAGATATTCTTTCACGTCTCAGATTTAAGTAAGTGTCCCCTTACTCTGCAGCCACACTTTCTAGTCTGAGATTCCTCCCAAAGTGGAAATATCTTATCAACATTTACCCTATCAAGCCTCCTCAGAACATGGTAACTCTCCCCACCTCATAATCAGAGGGCACAGGGTGACTGGGTATGATGGGCATATGCCAATACAAAGACTTTAGAGTACACTGGGTTACCCAAGTCAGTCAGAACAGAAATGGAATATTGATTAACCTCTGGAGGTTCAAGATACCTGGTGTATGCATCAGGACTGATCTCAGAAACTGGGTACTTAGTTAATATTTTCCAAGCTTGCAGAAAGGGTGTGAAGTAAAGTGCTTTTCTGCAGTAACGTGAAAAAAAATAGAAAATAGGATAAGCTGCCTTTAAATGCACTGCCCATATGCAGTAGACATCACCTCCTTGTCTTCAATTAATGCAATGTGTCTCATTTCCACTTTACTAGCTGCTGTCATTCATGTAGATCACACTCTTTAGAGATGGGAGTTGGAGACGCACTTGCTACCTCCTCACTTTCAGTGTGATCTTGCTGCCATCTTGAGAGGCAAATACCAGTTTTCCCTCATGGCACTAGAAGGTAATGTGTGCCTCAACTATGGGAGGGGTCAGGGGAGTCCCAGCTTCAAGCCTTAGTTGATGCCAGGCCAGCTGATTGTGATTGAAGCTCTCCAGTTGGATTCAACTCTGAACAGGGATGGGAAAAGTATTCAAGCTGGCATTTAAGTGGAGGTGAGGACGAGTTTGGGATTCACTCTGATGACCTTAGCTGACCTGTGCTCCAGATTAAAGTACCCAGAAACACAATTTAGTGAAGCGATGCATATTATTCTGGGAAAGAAATGAGGCAAGACTTCCTATGACAGAAAATCACGTGTCTCCCTGTTTGTGAGATAACTATGCTAGATCGGCCAACACAATGATCAACATTCCTGAAGCAAGAAACCACTTTAGAATATACACCATACTAGCGGTTGTTTTGACAGTCAGATTAAAGCTGGGCTTTCCCAGATGCTGTTGGTCATTCATGATAGGGCATCTGTCAGTGCAAGGAAAAACAGTGGAAAATGATCAGAAGGATGAATGGGGAAAAGGAGAGGGACTGGGTTAAGACTGGAAAGAGGAGGCTGAATGGCTTATTTCTGCTCCTATTTCTTAGGGCATTGAAAAGCAATGCAAGAGGTAGCGCAGAGGAGGGAACAAGGTAGAGATCTCTGGGAGCAGAGGTGTCTGATTGAGTAAACCATCGATGATGAAGGAGTCTAGGGGTAGCCCAGTGTTTGAAGATCAGGGTGAGAGAAGGTAACTGAGGAGATCAGTGGGGGGTGTGAGATGGGGGTGGGCGGGGGGACAGTGGTGGTGAGTTTGGGAAGGTGAAGTTTGTGGAAATCAGGGTTCCCGATATGGTCTCTGACACAAAGCACACAAGTGTTTATTACAAGGGTCTCATGGCCTCATGCAGTTGAACATAACTCACTCTCTGGGCCCAAATATAAAGAATGAGCAAATAAAAGACACATTAATACTTGTTTTAGTTATCTCAGAACTGAAACAAGAAGTATCCTGTTCAGCTTATTCACTCTATTTGTCAACAAGTCAGCAAGGATCATTGAACATGTTTTAGAACAGGTATGGACAACTATTCTCAAAAATTAATTCACTGGGTGTGGACATAGCTGACTAGGCCTGTGTTTACTTCCCATCTCTAATGGCCCTGGGAAATGCGGTAGTGAACTGTGTTCTCGAATCACTGCAGTTGTTTGCGGCATAGGGATACCCACAGTGCTGTTAAGGAAGAGGCTTTCAGGATTTTGATGCAGCGTGCGATATCTTACCTCCCTCTGCTCTGCCCATTCCAACACCTGTCCTCATTGGCCAAACCTGCCGTCACCTTCTCGTTGCACAGGGCACTGGGGAGTGTGACCCACAATTTTCGAACACCTTGGAGCTTCATCTTGACTTCAGTAACCTGAAAACGCAACAACCATTACTGCGGCTTGCCCGGCCTCGGAACCACCTTGACCCCTGACGTCCACCAACAGCCCCCCCAACCCCCCCGCCCCCCCTCCCCCCACCCTCCAGGCGGAGGTGGGCTGTAACATCAGGCAAACTTGGATACAGCGCAAATTCCCCTCAGCGACAGCAATTTCCCTCACCAATGTTAGATTTAAAATCCAGATACAATCCGATAACAGGTCAGTAGGCTGCTTGATTCGATGTTGGACAGATCTTACTCACACAATTGGTGCTGGGAATTATTAAGGGTCATATTGATTGGCACAACATGGCAGAGCCGGTAGGCTGTCTGGCCATTTCACTTGCTTCCATTTTCTGTGTAGCTTTGCAGCAAGTCAGAAGAAGAGGGCACAGTAAATGAAGGGGACTCAAATGATCAAAACCCTGGAGCCTAAACTCCTGGGGATTCTACATTCACCAACATGTGCCAAACTGAGTCAAGAGCTATGGGTAGCAAAGTGAAGTTAAGGCCACTGAAAGGACAGCTATGAATGACTGAGCTGACTTGAGGGGACCAAATGGCTTATTCCTGCTCCTATTTCTTATGGCATTGAGCTTCATAGCAGGTGCCCTGGTTAACTTTATCTTCTGTTCTTTATCTCTAGTTTTTAATAACAATGAAGATTGGCATAATTCATTGCCACAGGCTTGTTGTTTCTCTATCATTGCAGCTTGATGTCCAAATTGGCTGTAGAGGTCTCCCCATCACTGCCCAAAGAAATAGCTATCAGTGTCTGAAAGTGGATAACGGCTCTCCAGGGGTCAGTAATTCTGAATACATTGTGATATTCAAAACTTAGTCCTGAGGCCTACGATGACAGTGCTGTCCCACTGCCTAGTAGCCAGCTGCCTTTCTCATAGAATTCCTACAGTGTGAAAACAGGCCATTCAGCCAAAAAGTCCTCACTGACCCTCTGAAGAGCATCCCACCCAGAGCCATCCCTCCACCCTTTCCCTGCAACCCTGCATTTCCCATGGCTAATCTACCTAACTTACACACTACTGGACACTATGGGCAACTTAGCATGGCCAATTCACATTTTTGGAGTGTTGGAGGAGACTGGAGCACCGGGCGGAAACGGGGAGAACTTGAAAACTCCACACAGACTGTTGCCTAAGGATGGAACTGAACCCAGGTCCCCGGTGCTGTGAGGCAGCAGTGCTAACCACTGAGTCATGGTGCCACCCCTCACTTCCTGGAAATAATTCTTTTCTTTTGAAGAACGTCAGGAATAGCAGCGTTCAATTGAATGGGAGCCTTAAAACCGAGTCATCTAGCACCTACCAATCTCTCCATGGGTGGAGTGGTGAGACTGAATGGCCTCTCCTCCACTGGGTACAGCTTCCCGCGTCTCCTTGAATCATCCTCGGTCGACCGTTTGCTTACCGATTTGAGATGACCACAACCCTGAAGAACCTGGGCAAGAAACACAAAAAAAGAAGGGGAAATTCAGCCAGAAAAACAAACATCTCCTGTTTACAACAAACGTGCCTATATAAATGATGATAGTATAAGGTAGGGGTGGAGGTTAGGTAGACCTTAGGTTTAAGGTAAAAGTTCGGCACAACATCGTGGGCCGAAGGCCCTGTACTGTTCTATGTTCTATGTATAAATCAACTAAAGCATAGACATTTGTGCCACCTTCCATTTTTAGCAGGATCTCATGGTAATGGAGAGCCAGCTTTCTATTAGTGCCAAACACCACCAAAACATCAAAAGAATGAACATCTACTTTGCGCTGCAACACTGACTAGTTCAATTTTAGTGGATGCTTCTGTTCACAAAGCACTGTCCTCCCCGCGACAACTACTAGAATCTACATTCGCCAAGTACCTTTAGCATTGTCATTATTTTTAATCAACCTGCTCAGAGATGCTACGATACACTTCTTGAGGGGGTGGGACTTGAACCTGGACCTCCTGGCCCAGAGGTACTGCAGCACAAGAACCCTCCACCTTTGGTGTTATTATACAAATTCCAAAGTACCATCACAGCAACGTTATCAAACAAACACTAACATGAAATATTGGAAACAGAAACAGAAATTGTTGGAAAAGCTCAGTAGGTCTGGAAGCATCCATGGAAGGAAATCAGAGTTATATGTTTCAGGTTGAGTGGCCCTTCTTCAGAAGGGTATGATCCTGATTTACAGCATCCGCAGTTCTTTCGGTTCATATTTACCACTGGGATGTACAACCAAAATTCTTTCCATTGAAGTGGGATTATGGTTTATTTTAAAGCAGGAGAGGTTAAGAGGATTTGATGTTCATGAGATTTGGACTGAAAGAGTTGTGGCTATGGCCAGAAATGACAGTGATTAAAATGTGGAATGGTCAAGGTACCAAAATTGGAGGCCTGCAGAGGTTTCAGAGTTTTGCAGCATCGGAGGCGATTGCAGAGATAGGAAGGATAACAAGGATGAGAATTTTTAAGGTATGGCAGACTGAGAGTCAGTCTAGGTTAGCAAGCACAGGGGTTAAGGGGGAGCGGGACTCAGTGCAGAGATTTGGATGAGTTGAAGTTCCTTGGTGCTGAAGGATGGTGTTCCTGATCATCTCAAACACAAGCTTTAGCAACAGCTTCCCAACCACTCTCCAAAAATTCTGCAGGACTGCTCCCAATCATAGCAACTTCAAAGCCCAGCCACATCCTTAGTCTCTTATGCATTCTCCCTGCATCCTACCCATACTTCAATTTTAAAGCTATTTGCATTTCTGTTTTTGGTCTTTCTAATATCAGTTAGTAGGCCATTCAGCCCTTCTGGGGTGTTCCACCATTCAATGAGATCATGGTTAATCTGCGACATAATTCCATACACCTGCCTTGGCCCATTTTTCTTAATACCGTCCCTTAATTTTAACTCTGCAGCAGGTAAATTTTTGTTAAAAACTGATCCAGCATCCACTGCTGTTTGTGGAAGAGAGAATTTCAGAAATCTACCACTCTTTCGGAGTAGAACCCTCACAGCTGACAACCCTGTTGAGATGGTACAGTGGCTTTATTTAGCTTTAATGTGGAAGTGTGAGTGTTGGACTGGGGTGGACAAAGTCAGAAATCACATGACACCAGATTGTAGTTCAACAGGTTTATTTGAAATCACAAGCTTTCAGAGCGCTGCTCCTTGGTCTCTTCACATGTCGAAGGAGCAGCATTCCAAAAGCTTGTGATTTCAAATAAACCTGTTGGACTATAACCTGGTCAGAGATAGCAAGAACTGCAGATGCTGGATTCAGAAATAACACAGTGTGGAGCTGGAGGAACACAGCAGGCCAGGCAGCATCACAGGAGCAGGGAAGGTGACGTTTTGGGTCGGGACCCTTCTTCAGAAGGCCTCAGACTGTAACCTGGTGTTGTGTGACTTCCGAGTTGATGTATCTTTGTCATCGCGGTGTTTGCAGACTGGGAAGCTCATTAACTTTGGGACATCAGTACATGTCGTTCAATCCTGTTGCTTTCCCTTTCATGTTTGGTTCTGTCCTATAGCTGGGCTTGGCTTTGCTCATTTGACAGGCTGAATGGCCTGTGCTATTCTTTCGAGCCTGCCTGCTCTCCCTTGGAACTGTTTGACTTCCCTTTTGATCCTGACACTAATTTAATAAGCCGTAGTGCAGGATGGACAGGAAGTGATCAATAACAATCACAAGAAATGCACAATTAATTGTTAAGGAGCTTATAAAACGTATGGCGGTGAAGCATACAGGGGGATCCAACTGATGGAGGTGATTACTTATAAAGCTCAACGACATAATCCTCCAGCTTCCTTAGATAAAATAATGATTGGGAAACAAGACCCAACACAGCAGCCAACACATATCAACACAGATGTGGGAGTGGGGTGACTGAAAAATGGAGAGATGACACAGATTGGAGTTAGAAAGGGAAGGAGAGAATCTGACATGAATCCTGCTACTTGACAGATTAACAAAGCTCCCTTTTACCTCATTCTTTGCTACATGGGGATTTATCGGTTTCCAGAGTCAGAGGAGCCAGCTGGGTTTCTTTCTCCATACCCTGCCCAGACACAACGTCAAGTCAGACAGTCTTTAGCCTTCCAGACAAGTGAGAGAGTGACATGTTCCCCTCCAAACCACTCACTGCCCTGACTTGGAGATACATTGCCATTCCTTCAGTGTTGAAGGGTCAAAATCCTGGAATTCCCTCCCCATGTGCAACATGAGTCAACCTATAACGCATAGACTGCAGCGGTTCAAGAAGGCAGCTCACCACCATCTTCCCAAGGGCAACTAGGGACAGAGTTGGCCCAGACAGCGCCACCCATACCCAAGTGAATTTTTTAAAAAATCAACATTCAGGACTCAGCATTCCCTTTGGGTTAGGCACTTTAGGTGACAATTCCAAATTAACAGGTTAAACTGGTTTAAAAATCAGATTTCAAAACAGTGAAGAAGCAGATAGTAAAGTACAAGTCCGAGCATGAACACTTTTTGCAGGTGTTTGTGCAGAATGCTTCAGTCTAAAAGAATATCCTTGACCTTCTGTCCAAGAACCCAGACAACAAGTTAAACTTATTTACATACCACAAGTCAGAGATGTCAAATTTCATTGCACATGGAATCAACAAGTTACACCCAAATAACACCTTTAATGCAGTTAAAGGCACACCCTAGGGTGCTTCACGCAACACTAACAAACAGAAGTTTGTGCCAAACCAAGGAAAGAGATGACAAGACAACAAAAGTGACTGAAGGCTAAAGCAAAGAGGCAGCTTTTAAGGAGCAGGGAGGGAGGACTGAAGTCAAGGGCAGTTAGGGAGTGGGAACAAATGTTAGTTTGTGAGTGATACTCACATCCCACGGACAAATGAAAATATCTGCCAAGGTAATGCCTTTTCCAGGCAATGCATTATGGTGAACTGGCTGCTAAATGCCATTGGCCAAAGCCTACTTTTTAGGGGATCCAATGGCTGGACAGTAGGTATTTATCTTGTGGTTTGTCGTGCGTTTGGGGTCGCCAGAAAAAGACTGAGTCAAAGGCAAGGGTGGCACTGTTTCAGAGGCCACCTCTTTGCCTCTCCACACCTCCAGGTTGCGTCTCATTTCCACAGAGTGGGAGCAAATGGAAATCCACTGCAAACCAAGAGAAAGGTCACCCTGATAGCCAAGGAGGGACAGCAGCCATTTTTTTCACCTGCCGGGAAAGCAGGTAATCAGAGAACGGATGGATTGAAGCCCTTGAGCGACCATTAATTGGCCAGTTCAGGGACTAAAATGCTGGTGAGTTGAGAAAGTCCCGAACAGACCGTCTTGCCCAGCACTTAACTGGTGGTGAGAAGGGGTCTAGTATCTCTTCAGGGTCAACTTACCCAATTATCTCTGCTTCTTGTCACCTCTCTCATATCCTCCAGGGAATTTGCATCCTAAAGCTACTGTGTGTCCTTGAGAAGTATGTACCTGTCAGGCAAGGAGGAAGTGGTCGAGCAAGGGAACCGTGGTTTACTAAAGAAGTTGAATCTCTTGTCAAGAGGAAGAAGGAGGCTTATGTAGAGATGAGGTGTGAAGGCTCAGTTAGGGCGCTTGAGAGTTACAAGTTAGCCAGGAAGGACCTAAAGAGAGAGCTAAGAAGAGCCAGGAAGGGACATGAGAAGTCTTTAGCAGGTAGGATCAAGGAAAACCCTAAAGCTTTCTATAGGTATGTCAGGAATAAAAGTATGACTAGAGTAAGATTAGGGCCGGTCAAGGACAGTAGTGGGAAGTTGTGCGTGGAATCCGAAGAGATAGGAGAGGCGCTAAATGAATATTTTTCGTCAGTATTCACACAGGAAAAAGACAATGTTGTCGAGGAGAATACTGAGATACAGGCTATTAGATTAGACGGGATTGAGGTTCATAAGGAGGAGGTGTTAGCAATTCTGGAAGGTGTGAAAATAGATAAGTCCCCTGGGCCGGATGGGATTTATCTTAGGATTCTCTGGGAAGCTAGAGAGGAGATTGCAGAGCCTTTGGCTTTGATCTTTATGTCGTCATTGTCTACAGGAATAGTGCCAGAAGACTGGAGACTATGAAATGTTGTCCCCTTGTTCAAGAAGGGGAGTAGAGACAACCCTGGTAATTATAGACCAGTGAGCCTTACTTCGGTTGTGGGTAAAGTGTTGGAAAGGATTATAAGAGATAGGATTTATAATCATCTAGAAAGGAATAATTTGATTAGGGATAGTCAACACGGTTTTGTGAAGGGTAGGTCGTGCCTCACAAACCTTATTGAGTTCTTCGAGAAGGTGACCAAACAGGTGGATGAGGGTAAAGCGGTTGATGTGGTGTATATGGATTTCAGTAAAGCATTTGATAAGGTTCCCCACGGTAGGCTATTGCAGAAAATACGGAGGCATGGGATTGAGGGTGATTTAGCGGTTTGGATCAGAAATTGGCTAGCTGTAAGAAGACAGAGGGTGGTAGTTGATGGGAAATGTTCATCCTGGAGTTCAGTTACTAGTGGTGTACCTCAAGGATCTGTTTTGGGGCCACTGCTGTTTGTCATTTTTATAAATGACCTGGATGAGGGCATAGAGGGATGGGTTAGTAAATTTGCGGATGACGCCAAAGTCGGTGGAGTTGTGGATAGTGCGGAAGGATGTTGCAGGTTACAGAGGGACATAGATAAGCTGCAGAGCTGGGCTGAGAGGTGGCAAATGGAGTTTAATGCAGAAAAGTGTGAGGTGATTCACTTTGGAAGGAGTAACAGGAATGCAGAGTACTAGGCTAATGGTAAGATTCTTGGCAGTGTGGATGAGCAGAGAGATCTCGGTGTCCATGTGCATAGGTCACTGAAAGTTGCCACCCAGGTTGATAGCGTTGTTAAGAAGGCGTACGGTATGTTAGGTTTTATTGGTAGAGGGATTGAGTTTCGGAGCCATGAGGTCATGTTGCAGCTGTACAAAACTCTGGTGCGGCCGCACTTGGAGTATTGCGTATAGCTCTGGTCACCGCATTATAGGAAGGATGTGGAAGCATTGGAAAGAGTGCAGAGGAGATTTACCAGGATGTTGCCTGGTATGGAGGGAAGGTCTTATGAGGAAAGGCTGAGGGACTTGAGGCTGTTTTCGTTAGAGAGAAGAAGGTTAAGAGGTGACTTAATAGAGACTTACAAGATGATCAGAGGATTAGATAGGGTGGACAGTGAGAGCCTTTTTCCTTGGATGGTGATGGCTAGCACGAAGGGACATACCTTTAAATTGAGGGGTAATAGATATAGGACAGATGTCAGAGGTAGGTTCTTTACTCAGAGAGTAGTAAGGGCGTGGAATGCCCTGCCTGCAAAAGTAGTAGACTCGCCAACTTTAAGGGCATTTAAATGGTCATTGGATAAACATATGGATGATAATGGAATAGTTTAGGTTAGATGGGCTTCAGATTGGTTTCACAGGTCGGCGCAACATCGAGGGCCGAAGGGCCTGTACTGCGCTGTAATGTTCTATGTTCTATGTAACTTGTGTTATGTGAAGTGAAGGAATCCAAGGATGTGCAAGAGGGTAGAATTGGAGGAGTATAATTAACTTCTGTCACCTTTAAATAGACAACATGGCAATGTCAAGCAGGCACCTGTCCTCTTGTATATGTAGCTTGGCATCTCAACTTCATCAGGTAAAATGGGGGTCGGTAATTGGGGTGGGATTTCCAGCAGACATAGATATTAACTCCGGAAGTTTACACTCTCCCAACAGTCCATTGAAAGTATCAGGAGTAGGATTGCTGTTTGGCAGGTGTTCATACTAAATCTATCAGCCAAGAAAATCTCAGTGAAATAGCAACACTCTTGGGTGAGGACCACATCAGTTTCTTGGCGTTTTTAAAAACTGTGGACTGAAAATGAGAAGGAGCAGTTTTCAAAAACAGGGAAGCTGCTGTTTTGAAAAGTAGGCAAACTGACTCAAAAGGCAGGTATCATGTAAACAACTGTTTGAACAAGCAGTAACTGGAGGTTGAGTTGCGACAATTTGGATTTCAGGGGGCATACGGATGTAGCGTTTATTAGCAACAGAGTTTGATTGGTCAGTGGACTAATAACCAGTTATCATTGATGACGACCTTTCTGTCTGTCAGCAACCATGTGGTTTGTTCGCAGGTGACTGGAAACCTTGAAGCTAGGGGCACATTATCGAGAGACTGACAGAGAGAAAGTGAGAGTGAGACAGAGAGAGAGAGAGAAAGCAAGATAGAGAGAGCAAGAAAGGTGTTCAGTTCTTCTCCAGTTTAGGAGGAGTCTCCCTGTTCTCTGCAGAGAAACCTCAAGAAATCCAGTGTATTTTCTCTGCAACAGTTGCTGTAAGCTATGATTTTTAATGACTTTTTATAATGGAACCAGCCTCCTTGTGTCTCTTGTCAACCAGAAGAAGAAATCAGAGAAAGATGATTGAAGCAACATGCTAGCCAGCAGAAGTGTCATAAAGGACAGCTCAACAACAGAACTTGGGAACAAAGACCAGTGAACTGACTTTCCAATCGTACTCCTTTGTCCGTACCCTATTCAATCCTGTTGTGTGTATGTGTATAAGTAAGGGGGGAGTTCGTAAATGGATTCGACTCTTAATGAGTCGAATTCTATCCTGACTACTTATAACTGTGTATCTGAAGCTGGGGTCTAATTGCTTGTAACAAATAATGATATTTGTTTAGTACAGAGACCTGGTCCACATTTTATATCAAACTGGATTTGAAAATCAAGAAATTTGAGGAATTCTTTATAAGATCTTCAACTTTTATAACAAGTCTGGGAATAGCAGAGCTCAATTTCCCGTGCGTGACCCCAATGAAGCACAGCATTTAAATAGCACCTTTAACACTGTAAAATGTCCGAAGTGCTTCATAGGACATCAGCAAATAAAAACTGACAGTGGGCCATGTAAATCGGTATTAGGATAGTATCACCATACTCCTACCAGACCATAGGGCTTCTCTTTCATTACAGGGAGACGACTGGTGGTGGTTTAACCTGAAGGTCACCACACCTCAGACAAGGGGAGAGGTTGAGAAGGAGAGTCTTTCAATGGTAACCTCAGCCGGTTTGGGATTTGAACCCATGCTATTGAAGTCACTCTGCATTGCAAACCAGCTACCTAGCAAACTGAACTAACCAAAGCCCTCACACCACATACAACACATTACAGAAACGCAATTCCTTTTTGGGGAAGTGGGTTTCGGTAAGATTAGACATTTGACTTTTTCTTTATTTTGGCTCGCGTGAATCAAAACAGTAACATCAGATGCTTTCTGAAGAAATCTTCTGCAGAAGGGTCTAGACCCGAAACGTCAGCTTTCCTGCTCCTCTGATGCTGCTTGGCCTGCTGTGTTCATCCAGCTCTACACCTGGTTATCTCTTAACATCAGGTGCTTGCCAGGTTTAAACACAATGTTTTGTTATCTTTCATCAGCCTGTTCAGACATGTTACGATACACCTCTGGAGCAGATAGGACTTGAACCGAGACCTCCTGGCTCAGAGGTACTGGGCATTACCACTGCTTCACAAAAGCTCCCACTGTGCTTTATTAGATTTGGTTAATTATGGATAATTCATTCAACCTCTACAACTGGGAAGTGACAGTTCAAACGCGTGGCTCCAAATCCATTCCCAACCATGGCTCCCAAATCCAAATCCAATAGTTTGATTCCTAATTCCACTTCCAACCCCGCCTCCCAATTTGATTCCAATCGCAGATTAACAAATCCGTCCTGCACCCCAGAAGAATTCTAATTCCACTGTGTACTGGCTGTACTATGGTATAATACAAATGTGATGCCAACTCTGTGCCACCTAACATCACCAGTGGGCATCATTCACTAACCTGTAGTGCCATCTATTGCTTACAGAACTCACTCTATACCTTGAGTGACCTTACCTTTGATGAAATATGAACTCTGTTATCTCGCATGGTCTGTATTGCTTCAGCGATCTTCATGTAAATTGTATCAACCAGCGACTCCATGTTTGACGGTCCATTAAATCCATCAGCCACCTGAACCATAGAGTCTGAAATATCAAGAACAGTCAAGATTAATACTCACATTTCTCCTATGGAATGCTAGGGCACCATCTTGGCCCCCTACACTGGAATTTCCACCCTAAACCTCGTTGCATCTCCATCATCCTTTGCATACTAACCTAAAACTCATTGGTTGAAAAGCTTCTTTATCACCTCTACTTCTTAGTATTGACCTTAGGCTTACTTGCCTTCATGCCTGTGAGGTTGCTTTGAGATATTATTTTCTGTGTTTGCAACATTGTGTAAATGGCAAATATTACAAACTTCATTCTTCCTCGCACTGCCATTTTTCTCTCCTGTTCTCAAGAGGTAGCCACAGCAGAGCTTTAGAGGCACAACCACTTCTCTGCTTTCCTAGTCAAGGGTTTTCAAAACCACGAGGATTCTAAACAGGGCTGACTGAGTACAATTGTTCTAATTGGCAGAATGGTCGAGAACCAGACAATACCAATGCAGGGTGAAGGACAAAAAAACCCAACAACGACGTGAGAAGGAATATTTTGCACACAGAGTGTGCCTGGTATCAGGAATGCACTGCCTGGGAATGAGATGGAGGCAGATTCCAGATTCCATTGTGGCTTTCAAAATGGAGTGGAATATGTCCCTGAAAATGTGCAATTGGGGAGTGTGGGGGGTTGGTGATGGGACCAGCTGAGTTGGTCTTGTTGAGAGGCAGCACAGCCACTCTGGGCCAAGTGGCCTCATTCTTTCCTCCTACTGTTCTTCAGCTCTTTTTTTTCACCCCAGAATGTGTATTGATTATTCTGCTGTGCAGAGTATCATACTTAACACCAATTCGACTTTAGTATGTACTATCCAGCAATACTGGAAGGTAGGCTGATACCTTCATAGAATCACAGAATCCCTTAAGTGTGGAAGCAGGCCATTCGGCCCATTGAGTTCACAACAAACAGTATCCCACTGAGACCCACTCACCTACCCTATCCCTGTAACCCTACATTTCCCATAGCCTGCACATTCCTGGACACTACGGGCAATTTAACATGGCCAATCCACCTAAGCTGCTCACCTCTGGACTGTGGGAGGAAACTGGAGCACCCAGAGGAAACCCGTGCAGGCACGGGGAGAATGTGCAAACTCCATACAGATGCCCAAGGCTGGAATCAAACCTGGGTCCGTGGCGCTATGAGGCAGCAGTGCTAACCACTAAGCCACTGTGCCACCCCATCTCCACTTCCAGGTTCTGCAAGTCCTAGTTTTACCCTGGCTGAAATCAGCTAATTCATCACAGGCCACAGACTACCCTACACCCCCTGATATTAGTTCACACCCTTACTCAATAGCCTCTCTCCATTCAGCAGCCTGGTAATATTTCTAAAGATATTAATCTAAGACCCTTACACAGTCACTCTGTAACCCCGAGCCCATTTACTCAATGACATCAGGAGCATCCATGGTTTAAAGTGAAGGTTATCTCCCCAAACATTCCCTGCAAGATTGGTGATAGATTAATCAAAGCTTCTGACAGGACACAGTAAGTGGACTTCCCATCTGACGTTTGACAGATGATTCAAAAGGTTTTTGTCAAATTTATTCAAATTGATCAAAAGACCAAGATGAGTGAAGGAATATTCACTGAGGTGTCAGCATGATCTCTGCAGGTACCTAATGTTGAGACTCAGTGCCCCTGGCTGATCCCCCTCACTCCGCTGTTCGCCATGAACCTTACCGACCAGGTTCCTCCACTCGCTGTCTAGGTCCGCGTGATTGGCCAGGCAGCCCTTCAAGATGTTGAGGCAATAGTTGTTGCAAGGTTTCACACTTGCCATGCTCCGGCAGTGAGGACAATACATCAATCTCATCATGGCTCGAACACACTCTGGGCTTGGAGGTACCTGAGGTGGGTGGGTTGCAGCGGGGCGGGGTGGAGGGTAAGATTTAACACAGTTTTGAATACTTGAAAAGAATCAACTCTCAAAAATATATTCTCTCCATCAAGATTTATCCATTGGAGCCCAGAATTTGCACTGTCCTCTTCTCATGAGCTAACATGAAGCAACATGTAAGGATAAGATAAGGGGAGGCAATGGCCTAGAGGTATTATCACTGGACTGTTAATCCAGAGACCCAGATAACATCCTGGGGACCTGGGTTTGAATCCCACCATGGCAGATGGTGGAATTTGAATTCAATAAATATCTGGAATTAAGAATCTAACGATAACCAGGAATCCATTGTTGATTGTCAGGAAAAACCCATCTGGTTCACTAATGTCCTCTAGAGAAGGAAATCTGGCCTACATATGACTCCAGACGCACAGCAATGTGGTTGGCTCTTAACTGCCCTCTGGGCAATTAGGGATGGGCAATAAATGCTGCCTAGCCAGCGATGCCCTCATCCCATGAATGAAAACGATAAATGAATACTTTTAGTCTTGGATCTCAACTATTTACAATCTACATCATTGACTTGGGTAAAGGGACCAAACATCTCGTGTCACTGGCAAACCAAGCTGCTAAGATGGATAGGAAAATATGTTGTCATGAGGCATTGGTATCTACAAAAGGTTAAGTGAGTGGCCAAGAAATATCAGATGGAGCACAATGCAGGAAAATGTGCATTTTCACAAGAAGACTAGAAAAGCAGAATTTTATTTAAATGGAGCAAGGTCACAGAACTCCATGGTAGAGAGAGATCTGAGTGTCCTGGGACATGAATCACAAAGTTAGTATGCAGGTACAGCAAGTGATTAGGACAACAAATGAAGTTTTGGTTCATTACAAGAAGAATGGAACGTAAAAGTACGGGAATGGGGTGGCGTGTGTAGTGGGGAGGATTCATTAATGTCCCAATAACGGCAGCCTACCAGTCTTCAGTCCTGGAAGCGGCCAATGAAGAGAACAAGCCCTGTATTCCATAATTCTGTATCTAGATCAGACACAGGTAGCATTGATTCCTATGTCCCAACCCGATGCTTCAGCCCAAACTCAAAGTAATGCCCCCAATACATAGGCAAGTCTCATCTCTTCCTATAATGCCCAGAGGGAGTACAATTTGCCAGAGGAGGGCCAATTTTAAGACAGTTCTTTGATATGATGCAATACTAACTATTAGCCTGGGATTTATACTGGAGGCAGCAGGGGAGCTGGATTCAAGCATTGGAAATGACAATGACTTGGTTCAGTATCTCATTCAGAAAACAAAGGCTTAGTAACTCAAGGACAACTTAAAACAAACCAATTTTTTTCCTTCAGGGAAAAATAATTGAACGCTTAGGTATGACTCAGCATTTTCCTGCGATGTACGATTGGAATCAAGTGGAAACGCTTATGCAACAGGGCAGCACTCCCTTAAAAGGGAAAGATTGAAGGAGAAGTGAAATGACAAAGGAACTGAGAATTTTTTTTTAAAATCCCGTCATGGATTGTGGGTATCTTTTGCCAGGTCAACATTTATTGCCCATCCTCAATTGCCCTTGAACTGAATGGCTTGCTTGGATATTTCAGAAGGCATTTGAGAGTCAGTCACATTGCTGTGGGTCTGGAGTCACGTGTAAGCCAGACCAGATAAACAGGCAGACTTCTGTCGCTAAAAGGGCATTTTTGAACCAGATGGGTTTTCATGATGGTCACTGCCACTGAGCCAAGTTTCAGGTTCTCAATATTTACTTGAGCAGGATGGGTAAGCAAATGTAAGTGATTTCACTGGCAGGAATGCAATGACAATACCATCATCTTCAGATAATTATCAGCGCACAGAAGTACACATTGAGATTATGAGCAATCTTTTCACACAGTTATATTGGAAAGTGGAATTATTCTCTCAAGTGAGTGTTCAAAGCTAACTCAAATACAACATTTGGAAAAATCATGGATAACCATTAACACACAGTTATAAAAAGAGGTTAAGAAGAGAAACAGGAACAGAGGGTCATAAAAAACTAGCCAGGGAGGCACAAACAGGATGATTTTCTCTTACTCTGTGCATTTACGATATATTTAGTATCTTATACAGCAATATACTCTCCAAACTGCATGCTTTTACTGATTATGTTTTATTTCACATTAACTGCTTAACTTACGTCAACAACCGTCAAGGCTTTTCACTCTGGATGTGTTTGATATGTTAGATTTACCTCTTCCACACCCCACAATTGATTTTAAATCTCAAACGTAAAAGGACCTAACCCAGGTAACTATCACAACCTCACGTGCCCGCTCTCAAACTGCTGCCCGATGATGAGGCTCCTCAATTGTTTGTGCCACCCAACAGCTAGTCTTTATTTTGAGGATTTGAAACTCATTGTCTGAAAGGATGTCCAGCCTTAAATCCTTATTACATTTAAGGAAAACACTTGGCTATGCAACTGAGGTGGCAACTGAGGTACACGGGCTCAGATCTAGAGCTGTACAGTGCGAATAGACCTGATGAGGGTTGGCTGTCAAGGGCTTGTCTCATTTCACTTCTGCGCTGTAGACATTTGTGTGTTTTTAAGCAGCGCCACTGCCAGGGGAAGGGCAATAAGCACAACCTCACCAGCTTTGCTCACAATCTAAGCTCCTCAAAGCTCATCTCCTTAACAAACTTGCAGACGTCTCTACGGCTCCCCCTTCTTTGGCTCAGTGTCCGAGTTTCTGCTGCTGATCTCAGAAGGACCTCCGGATCTCTGCCCATGTTAAGACAGTTTGCAAATGAAGCTGAGATAACAAGGTGTAGAGCTGGATGAACACAGCAGGCCAAGCAGCATCAGAGGAGCAGGAAGGCTGACGTTTCGGGTCGAGAGCCTTCTTCAGAAATGGGGGAGGGGAAGGGGGTTCTGAAATAAATTGGGGGGGGGGGGGGGAGGCGGATGGAAGATGAATAAAGGAGAAGATAGGTGGAGAGGAGACAGACAGGTCAAAGAGGCAGGGGTGAAGCCAGTAAAGGTGAGTGTAGGTGGGGAGTTAAGGGGGGATAGCTCAGTCCAGAGAGGACGGATGGGTCAAAGGGGCGGGATGAGGCTAGTAGGTCAGAGATGGGGGTGGGACTTGAGGTGGGAGGAGGGGATAGGTGGGAGGAAGGACAGGTTAGGGAGGCGGGGATGAGCTGGGCTGGTTTTGGGATGCGGTAGGGGGAGGGGAGACTTTGAAGCTTGTGAAGTCCACATTGATACCATTGGGCTGCAGGGTTCCCAAGCAAAATATGAGGTGCTGTTCCTGCAACCTTCGGGAGGCATCGTTGTGGCACTGCAGGTGGCCCAGGACAGACATGTCATCTAAGGAATGGGAGGGCGAGTTGAAATGGTTCGCAACTGGGAGGTGCAGTTGTTTGTTGCGAACCGAGCATAGGTGTTCCGCAAAGCAGTCCCCAAGCCTCCGCTTGGTTTCCCCGATGTAGAGGAGGCCACAACGGGTACAGCGGATACAGTATACCACATTAGCAGATGTGCAGGTGAACATCTGCTTGATGTGGAAAGTCTTCTTGGGGCCTGGGATGGGGGTGAGGGGGGATGTGTAGGTAGCACTTCCTGTGGTTGCAGGGAAAACTGCCGGGTGAGGTGGGGCTGGAGGGGAGTGTGGAGCGGACAAGGGAGTCACGGAGAGAGTGGTCCCTCCGGAAAGCAGATAAGGGTGGGGAGGGAAAAAGGTCTTTGGTGGTGGGGTCGGATTGCAGATGGCGGAAGTGTTGGAGGATGATGCATTGGATCCGGAGGTTGGTGGGGTGATACGTGAGGATGAAGGGGATTCTGTTTTGGTTGTTATTGTGGGGAGGGGGTGTGAGGGATGAGTTGCAGGGAATGCGGGAGACACGGTCGAGGGCATTCTCGACCACTGAGGGGGGGACGTTGCGGTCCTTGAAAAACGAGGACATCTGAGATGTTCGGGAGTGGAATGCCTCATCTTGGGAGCAGATGCAGCGGAGGCGAAGGAATTGGGAATAGGGGATGGCATTTTTGCAGGAAGGTGGGTGGGAGGAGGTGTATTCTAGGTAGCTGTGGGAGTTGGTAGGCTTGAAATGCATATCGCATTATGCAAATGCATTCCAAGTGGTTGCCAGAGATGGAGACAGAGAGGTCCAGGAAGGAGAGAGAGGTATCAGAGATGGTCCAGGTGAACTTAAGGTTGGGGTGGAAGGTGTTGGTGAAGTGGATGAACTGTTCGAGCTCCTCGTGGGAGCACGAGGCAGCGCCGATACAGTCATCAATGTAACGGAGGAAGAGGTGGGGTTTAGGGCCAGTGTAGCTACGGAAGAGGGATTGTTCCACGTATCCTACAAAGAGGCAGGCATAGCTTGGGCCCATGCGGGTACCCATGGCTACCCCCTTTGTCTGTAGGAAGTGGGAGGAATTGAAAGAGAAGTTGTTGAGGGTGAGGACGAGTTCAGCTAAGCGGATGAAGGTGTCAGTGGAGGGGGACTGGTCGGGCCTGCGGGACAGGAAGAAGCGGAGGGCCTTTAGGCCATCTGCATGGGGAATGCAGGTGTACATTGCAAATGAAGCTTGTGGTCACCAAGGGCGAGGCATTTGAAACTAAAGATGATCTCCCCACTCCAGGAACTTGAGCTCATCATTTCAGCTGATGTTTAAAGCTAATATAATGCAGGCACTGTATTATTAGCATTTCTGTGTTTCATATGGCTTAACCAAATTACCCAGATTACCCAAATGCTCTCTAATGTCGATGTACAAGATCCCACAAATAAAGTTCTCTAAGTATGTGGCACATACCTTAACCAACATCACAAATACAGACTATCTGATCATTTACTTCATTGCTGTTAATGGGAGCTTGCTAAATGAATTTGACTGCTGCATTCCCTACAAGAGTTCAAAAGAATTCAATTGGCAATAAAGTGCTTTGAGACTTCCTATGGTCATGAAAGGTGCTATAGAAATGTAAGGGTGTCCTTTTATTGT